TAAACCTTCATTTCGGTGCAATATTGAAATTAGCTTGAATTCTTTATAACCTATGAATAGTCGGTGAACCAAGGGGTCACGGGTGGTCTAGTTTTTTTTATAATTGCTAGCACAAAATGATATGTAACCAATGAGAAGTCGACAACACTAGCGAGCTCTCCCATAAAACCGCGCTCCCAACCTGGCCTATCAGTTCAACCTACCCTAGCTTCTCATACCTTAAAAAGGTCTCAACATGGGACAAAAACATTGAGGCTCAAAGTAACAAAGGATATCTGATCCGAACATTGTTTGATACTTAAAATAACAATGAAACGAATTAAAATGAAAGATGTATGTATGAAATAAAACTACAATGTATTTTGTTTGTTTTCTTACTTGAGTAAGGAAACATACTATGCTAATATTATAATAATATGTAGGCAAGCAACGATTTATAAGCATAAGGAAAAGTTTTATTGACAGTGGAACAGACAACATGTTTCGACAAAACATTGGTCTTTCTTCTTCAAAACTCGATTTTTAGCGTTAAAAGCCGACAAATTTATTGCTCTGACATTAAGGGGCAGTATAATGTGTAAAACGTTTTTGTTTTATTATTTTGTTAAGTTTGGTTTATTTTGAAGTTTGCGTAAAGCTACAGGAGGGTTGTCCGCACTAGCCTGCGTAAAGCTACAGGAGGGTTGTCCGCACTACCCTGCGTAAAGCTACAGGAGGGTTGTCCGCGCTAGCCTGCGTAAAGCTACAGGAGGGCTGTCCGTACTAGCCGTCCCTAACTTAACAGTGAAAGGCTGGGGGAAAAGCAGCTGGTCAACGACATCCACCACCAACTCTTGGGCTACTCTTTTACAAACGTTAAGAAGGATTGAGCTTTACATTATAATGTCCTCGCGGCTTAAAGGGTGAGCCTGTTCGGTGACGAAGATTCGAACCCGCGAGTCGATTTCTTGTTAAAACGAGATAAAAAAATGAAGGAATTAAAAGGGTCTATGATATGTAAATAACTAAAAATGTTCAAGTTGGACAGCGTGTTGTTGTTTAAGAAGTATTTTTATAGCTTAATTATTTAAAAAAAAAAGTGATGAGTACAAAAAATTAAACACAAAAAAATATTTAAGATTAAAATATTGAATAGAATAAAAACGGTTTCTGGCGCGTAAGTAACTAAAAACATGCTCAATGATGATAGCAATACTAATAAAAGAATTTAAGTTTCTTAATGAGAAAGCTATAATAGAACAGTGAGTAAGAAAGCACATGGTGATACGCAGGATGGAATGAAACAAACCAGAAGTATTCTACCTGCAAGTGTGTGTGGTATTTTACTGTATAACAAACGAAGTCAATTGTTTGTCATGTGTTAGTGGAGCCAACCTCTGATACTATAAAAAACAAAGTTGATATAGAAAATGGGAAATAGTATAAAATAAAAGAAC